AAATGATGCAACTTGAAACTAGCTGCTACACTATCAATTAAACTATTCTTCCCTTGGGTCAGATTACATAAACCACAGTAGAAGTTTCACCCTTAGGTAAGTGGCAAAATCCTTCAACTAATAAAGACCTGGCCAAAGAAAGGACAGTAGAAAGGAGGAATAAGCCTCACAAATGTAAAACCCCTCAATATAACTGTCCAAAGGTACATTAATAAGCAACAGAGAAAATGGTAGTTAAACCCCTGACATTTTCACATTCAAAATACAGAAGTATCCTTCTGATATCCAAGAGACACACCGCTCCCTTTTACCATATTTCCAAAATGTTTTATATTCTCCCACACTTTCATTCTTTCAATAAATATTTGTTGAGTGCCTATTCTGCTCATACACTAGACCCTGGTCATGTGGAACAAGACAGCTATAGGCTACCCTCCGAGAGCTCGTATTCTAACAGAGAAGGCAGACTCTCAACTAATTATTCATCTGCTTAATAAAACCGCGGTAACACGATGGAGGACACAAGTGTTAAGACAGCACATAACATATAATCCATCCCATGCCTTCTTCTGCACCGAAAAGCAAATGTCTTAGTTGCTTACTACAGAAATCTAATTACCACTCTACGTGTGCACCTCTTTCCGCAGTTTTTCTGAATAACAGCCAGGTTCCCAACTGTAGCTCTCAGATGTACCTCTAGGGAGACAAAGAAATTAATCAAAAGTAATTTTACCACCAGCAGCTTTTATAGTATCAAATTTTCTCTACATCTCTTTGCTGTCATAAACAGGGTCACATTGGGGAATAAAAGTCTCTTGACTGTTTTGGTCATACCCATTTATGGGATGATCTTCTTCAAAAGCTGTTTTAGGGGCACCTGGGTAGCTCAGTCGATTCAGCGTCCAACTTCAGCTCAGGTCATGATCTCATGGTTCGTGAGGTCGAGCCCCACATTGGGCTCTCTGCTGTCAGCGCGGAGCCCACTTTGGATCCTCTGTCCCCCTCTCTCTGTCCCTACCCTGCTCTCACACGCATGTGCTGTCTCTCTCTCAAAAATAAACATTTTTTAAAAGCTGTTTTAGGGGCGTCTGGGTGACACAGTCAGTGAAGTGTCTGACTCTTGAGCTTGGCTTAGGTTATAATCTCAGCTTGTGAGTTTGAGCCCCACATCAGGCTCTGTGCTGACGGTGCAGAGCCTACTTGGAATTCTGTCTCTCCCTCTCTCTGACCCTCCTCAGCTTGTGCTCTCTCTCTAAATAACAAAATAAACTTTAAAAAAAAGCTGTTTTAATTCAATAAGCACTTATAAAGCCCTTCCTATTAAAGACCACACAATGGGAATGTGTGATCTTTAGGAAAAAAGTATCTCTGCTGCAATTGACATGCCAGTGAAAACTGACAACACAAGATTTTCCTTTGGGACACCTCTGGATTCATATTTTTAATATAAGCAACAGTACTCAGTAAGGAACCCTCTACTAGACGAAGCTTAGGTTATATATTTGTGACTCTCCTTTTAAAATGACATCCACACACTATATTTTAGTGAACATTGGACGCTTGCTAAACTGACCTTTGTTTTCCAGGATGACAGGAAATCTGCTGTCAGACACAGGAAGTGAGTCAGATCATGGAAGAGGTGAAAATATAGGAACAGAAAAGCACACTAAAATTTCCTGTAAATTAGAACACCTACCTAGTTGGAAATATAAATGTAAGAAAAAGTAGATTCCATGATACAGACACTGGCGCCAATGAAACAGCTACCTCTCTGGCACTTACCCAGAAAGCAGATCCTAGTAAGGAGAACAAGTTTGGTTTCTGTTTTTTATTTTAATATAATTTATCGTCAAATACACTTACATACAACACTCAGTGCTCATCCCAAGTGCCCTCCTCAATGCTCATCACCCATTTTCTCCTCTCCTCCACAACCCCCAACTCAGAAAAAAAGTTTTAGATGTCAATATTTACAATGCAGAAGAGATAACAGAAAGGGAGTAGAGCTGAAAGCAAAACAGGAGGTATCTGGGTTAATGACCTTCTTTAATGAAGTTGTAAAGCCCTGGCCATGGTTACCGAGAAGGCTATGGAACTTCCTTCCACTTAAATTTTAAAACATGTCAGCACCCCAGGTCAAAACTGTATTATGATACTATATTGCTTGAAAGCAGAGGAATGTACTCTGACTTGCTACGTTCCTTTACAGTTTTTCCAATTCTTACTAGGCAAGATCCATTATGATTTCCTTCAGCTACTCGTTCCTTCTACATATTTATTGGGTTCTTAGTATGTATAACAGTACTGCGCTCAGGCCGTGGTGATCTGTAAGACAAGTCTAACCACTTGGGTATTACTTTCTAATAGGGAGATACACTAACACATTCCATAAAGGAACAGAGGGTGCTCTAACAGCACACTTAAGGGGAGAGGAGAGGGGCGCCTGGCTGGCCCAGTTGGTTAAACATCCAACTTTGGCTCACGCCATGATCTCACTGTTCATGGGGTGGAGCCACGCATCAGGCTCTGTGCCCACAGCTCAGAGCCTGGAGCCTGCTTCAGATTCTGGGTCTCCTGCTTTCCCTGCCCTTCCCCTGCTTGTGCACTCGCTGGTGCGCGCACTCTCTCTCTCTCTCTCTCTCAAAAATAAACGTTAAAAAAGGAGGAGGGCTTAGGGAATGCTTCTCTGAGGAAGTAACACTTAAGACAGGAAGATGAATATAAATGGGAAGCAAAGCTACATTCCTGGCAGAAGTAGCAACATTAAAGATTTGAAAAAGAAAAATGGCAGGAGGGAGGAGATGGCTACTAACACTGTCAGGGGCAGACAGTGAGAGGCATGACATGGACACGAAGCTGCAGACAGGCAAGGACTACATCATTCAGAGTCATGTAGATCGTGTTATGGATTTTTTGGACTTCATTCCAAGAGCAATGGGAGGACAGGGGTGGGTTTTAAGCAAAGGGATATGTGGCCAGATGCACATTCTTTTAAAGATCACTCTGAAACAGGGGCGCCTGGGTGGCTTAGTCGGTTAAGCGTCCGACTTTCGCTTAGGTCATGATCTCGCGATTCGTGGGTTCAAGCCCCGCGTCAGGCTCTGTGCTGACTGCCAGCTCAGAACCTGGAGCCTGTTTCGGAGTCTGTGACTCCCTCTCTCTCTGACCCTCCCCTACTCATGCTGTCTCTCTCCTAGAAATAAATAAAACATTAAAAAAAATTTAAAAAAAAAAGATCACTCTGAAACAGAGAAAAGACTTATAAGGGAAAAGTGAATGTGGGCGAGCAACAATATAAAGTAGTACCAGATTATAACCCAAAGTATCAAATAAATATTCATGAATCCACACTGATATAATTAAATGGTTGGATAAATATACAATGGGAAGAAAAGACAAATCTCCCGTCCATAATTCCAAACAAATTATGTCAATACGCTGCCCTCAAGGAGGTAGGGCGGAACTCCCCACTCTCAAGTGAGGGCTGTGCATAGCGAGTTCCTTCCAAAGAGAGTAACCTTACAGGGAGAAATCTAACCAACACCACCTTGGTGAGGTGATCCAGATCAACACCAACAGAGATAAATCATACTGATAGCATGTCCTTTTCATAGGATGCAATGAATGGCACTTCGTCTCCATGCTCTTCCTCCCAAAACCCCATAACCCTTACCTATCATGAGAAGAACATCAGACAAATCCCAACCGAGGGATATTCTACAAAATACCTAACCAGAACCTAACCCCTCAAAACTATCACGGTTACGAAACACAAGGGAAGTCTGAGAAATTGTCACAGACAAGAGGAGACAGGACGACTAAATGAAATGTGATACTCTGGATGAGATCCTGCAACAGAAAAAGGGCATTAGGTTGAAACTACGGAGATCTGGGTAAAGCATAGACCTCAATTAATAATGTGTAAATACTGGTTAATTGTGACAAATGCACCATACTAATGTAAAATGTTGCCAGGGCAAACCGGGTATGAAGCACAAGGGAACTTTACTATGTTCCCGATTTTTCTGTGAATCTATTCTAAAAGTATTCTAAAATAAAAAGATGACTTTAAGTGTATGTGGGAAGAGTGGTAATGGAACCACTCTTCTAGTTTAGGCTAAAATTGACAGAAGGTACAGGACCGAGTGATTCACTAGCTGGTGGGTGAGGCAGAGGAATCGAGAGTGAAAGCCACACAGACAGCAAGGATGAAAGGTTACAGCCCAGATTTCAGGCTTGGAAAACTGGATGCGCAGGGGAGTCATTCACTGATAAGGGAGCAGTGGAGTAAAGCCAGATTTGGAGGAAAGTTAATAACCAGCATTCACTGGAGGTCCATGACCCGCCAAGCCCTTCTCAGAGTCCCATAATCGTTTTGCACAATAGAGACTTTTATTTGGTCCAGAGCCAAGTAAAGAAATTAAGAGTTTGGGATCAGGTTTCTATGTACTCCAAAGCGCTCTTCCTACTACAGTTTCTTCCGTGCACGTTTACTTCATCGGGCAGCCCAAGCGCCTCGAGCTCCTGAAGTGGAGTGCATCAGCAGTGTGGCCTCAGTGGTCACCCCTACTCCCCGGGCCTCATCTGCCAAAGACCATCTCCATCTGAAGTTGTCTGCAAGAGGCGGGTAGCGACTTCATTAAAATGATGACAATTAAGACACCACGAAGGGAACCGCATCAGCTAATACTGATGATGATGGTGACGATGATGAAGATGAAATAAAGAGCGCAGCGAATTCTCTGGTTCCACTCCCGTAGAGAGGTCTCCTAAGGTAAAGGCGATCCCCCCGGGAGGGCACCGAGTCAAGGCGGCTAGCCTAGGATGCTCCCACGCACCTTGACCCCAAAGCCCCGGGTCTCAGCAGGACCCCCGGGGAAACGCCGGCCAGCCCGCCCAGAGCCACGCGGCACAAGGTGACACGGACCGCGCCTGCCTCTCAGCCGCCTGGGAGAGGCCGGGACCAGGAGGGAGAGGGGCGTCGCAGGGCCCCGCGCTACCTTATACTTATCAAAGCCAGCCAGCTGCTCCGGGCTCACGTATTCATAACCAGCCATGGCGAACCGAACACCGAGCGCCCACTCGGCAGCGACTCTCCGCGACGAGGTGCGGAAACACGAGCACCACACCGACAGAGCAAGGCTGGGAAGACTTGGGCAGGCAAAGGTGATAGAAGAGCCGCGCTCCGCCCACCGCGCACGCGTAGCGGCCTCAGGCCACTTCCGCCGCCTCCCAGGGCGCAGGCGCAGCCTCCACTTCTCCCCGCCCACCGAGGGAGGGTCGCTAGCCTGCTCACGCGGTCCGCCCCCTCACGCCGCCGCAGTCCAATCAGCGTGGATCGGACAACGCGAAGTCCCGCCTTCCAGGTCTGCTGGTCTCTTCATTCGCTAGCGTCAAAATTGGTGAGCTGAAGTAAGACGAGAGTGGAGGTAAAAGGTCAATTTCCCAGGGGGCCTTGCTCCTCCCTCCGGGGGTTGGGGCGGTTTTCTGTTTTCTGTGGGGCATGGAGTTTGGGAGTTGCCGTTGGGGTTGCGTGGATCGTCTGCGAACCGGTTCAGAAGTACCCCTGGGAAGAGCCGTGACGTTCAAGACTAGAGAGAGGGTGCGTGCCCGGCCCGCTGCAGTTCCTGGCACGCAGGAGGAGCTTAGGAAAAGTGATTGGATGTAGGCGAGGCTCGGGGAAAGGCTTTTTCAGTGTTGGAAGGGAAGTGAAAGGGCGCTGGAGACAAACCCCTCGGGCCTCTCCACACTCCGCGCTGTCAAACTGTTGCAAATTGAAATTGCTACTGTCTCCGACCAGATGAAAGCACAGATCTCTGAGTCTCTAGGGATCTTCAAATGCGTTTGCAAGAAGCGCAGGCACACAACCGGAGCCAGTCGTAGACAGAACACTAGATCAGTGGCTAGTGTGTATCAAGCTAATAATAAAATGTAATAATAGTGATAGTTGCTATCATTTTTTTTAGCACCTTCTGTGCGAGGAACTTTATATACATTTTCGCCAACCCCCATAACAGTATTATTACGTGGAAGGCACTTTCCCTATTTCGCAGCTTCGGAAATAAAAATTCAGCTTACCTAACTTGCCCAGGATCAGACCATTAATTATACAGCTCGGAAGTGGTCAACTCAACATGAAATGAGGTTCTTGGTGTCGGAAACCACTACCTAAAAGAGATCCTCAATCACTGGGTCTCTGAAACAAGGGTGATTATTTTGAGATCTCTTATGTCTAGAGGATAAGATGTAGAAACAGCTCTTCAAGTATACTAATGATACCATGATATATTAGCCTTTCATAATGAAATGCCATATCAGTTGGCATAAGCTGCAAGAAAATAAAAGGCATTTTAAAATGTTTATATTTGAGAGACAAAGAGAGACAGCATGAGTGGGGGAGAGGCAGAGAGAGAGGGAGACACAGAATCTGAAGCAGGCTCCAGGCGCTGAATTGTCAGCACGGAGCCCCAACACCAGCCTCGACCTCACTGACCGCGAGATCATGACCTGCGCCCAAGTCGGACACTTAACGGACTGAGCCGCCACCCAGGTGCCCCAAGAAAATATAAAGTTAAGCAGATGTAAAAGTTATTTATTGCCATGTAACAAATCATGCAAAACCTAGTAGCTTAAAATAACAGCCATTTTATTTGCTCCTAATTCTGTGGGTTAGCAATATGGACTGAGCTTAGCTGGGCTATTTCAAGAGGGCATAAGTAGAAGCTGTAAGGCCTTTCAAAGCCTCGGCTCAGAAATCACCCAGTGTCACTTCTGTCTCATACTCCTGGGTAAAGTTAATCACAAGGCCAGCCCAGATTTGTGGGAAGGAAAATAGATTCACCTCTTAATGGATGGAATGGCAGAGTCACCTGGCAAGGGGACCTGCCCAGAAGAATGGGCGGCCATTATCACAGCCATCTTTGCAAACATTCTACCACCTCAGATTAGCTACAATAGATCAAAGATGAGACAGTAAGTATGCTTCATCAGGAAAAGATTTGGAAACCACTGAATTGCACTTGAATTCTTTCAAGGTATTGATTTTTTAAAAAGTCAAAACAAACTAAAACAGTCAAAACCCTTGTCCCAAGACTTTAATTAACATAAGCTGTCTCTTCCAAATCTCCCACCCACTCTCAACGCTCTCCACTCTGGTTTCCAACTTCCCTGACTCTACTGAAATGGCTGCCTCCAGGCTCCTCACATTGTTGTTAAATCAGATAGACACTGGGAGACTTGTTATCTGACTTTTCATCAGCTTACACTTCACGCTGTTCTTCCTTGAAACATCTTCCTCCCTTGATTGCTCTGAATTACTTCTGTTTTTATTCTCTCTGACTCCTTCTCTCAAAACACACACACACACACACACACACACACACACACACACACACACACGGGCTTGATCTCCCACTGTTTTTCTGTGCTTCTACAGCATCCTGTGTGATGGGGTTCTTGAGCAAACGGCTAGGAAAGCATTCTTGAGACCTCTTTGGTGCAAAAAGCTGTTTTATTAAAGCACGGGGCAGGACCTGTGGGCAGAAAGAGCTGTACTGGGCTTGTGAGGAGTGACTGATTATATACTTTTAAGTTAGTGGGGGTTAGGGATAGCATAGGTCTCTAAGGAATTTGAAAGCAAGGCTTTTAGGACCTTGAGGGGCTAGCTACTGTTAAGATAAGTTTACTATAAGGGGTCCCTGGGTGGCTCAGTTGGTTGGGCAGCAGACTTGGGCTTATAGCTTGTGAGTTCAAGCCCTGTGTTGGGCTCTGTGCTGACAGCTCAGAGCCTGGAGACTGTTTTGGATTCTGTGTCTCCTTCTCTCTCTGACCCTTTCCTGGTCACACTCTGTCTCTCTCTCTCTCTCAGAAATAACTACACATTTAAAAAAATGTTAGGGGCACCTGGGTGACTCAGTTGGCTAAGCATCCAACTTCGGCTCAGGTCATGATCTCATGATTTGTGGGTTCGAGCCCTACATCAGGCTCTGTGCTGACAGCTCAGAGCCTGGAGCCTGCTTCCGATTTTGTGTCTCCATCTCTCTCTGACCCTCCCCTGCTCACACTGCCCCCCTCCTCTCTCTCTCTCTCTCTCTCTCAGAAATAAATAAAACATTTTAAAAAATTTAAAAATGTTTTAATAAAAAAAGATAAGGTTAACTGTAGTCTTTAATAAATCAAAAACAGTAAGGAAGTAAGGCAGCCATGAGTTACTTGAGGAAGGCCACACCCTGCCTGTTTCAGGTGTCTGTCAGTGGGCTGCAAGCTGTAAGGAGATTTAATTTAAGCTACATTTATCTTGCCTTTGTTTCTCTTATCACTGTACATACCTCTTTCTTCACATTTACATGTTATAAAATTTTCTGTCTTTTTAATGTTTACTTCTTTTTTAAGTTTATTTATTTTGAGAGAAAGAGAGGGGAAAGGGAGAGAGAGAGCAAGTGAGCCTGAGTGGGGGAGGGGTAGAGAGAGTGGAAGAGAGAGAATCCTAAGCAGGCTCCATGCTATCAGTGCAGCTTGAACCCATGAAACTGTGAAATCATGATCTGAGCCGCAATCAAGGGTCAGACATTTAACCAACTGAGCCACCCAGGCACCCCTGATGTTTATTTATCTTTGAGAGAGAGAGAGCACAAGCTGGGGAGGGGCAGAGAGGGGGGTGGGAGAGAGGATCCAAAGTGGGCTCCAGGGTGACAGCAAAGAGCTGATGCGGCTCTCGAACTCACAAACTACAAGATCATGACCTGAGCTGAAGTCAGACGCTTAACTGGTTAACTGAGCCACCCAGGCGCCCCAGAAGTTTTCTATTTTCTTATCCATCTTACTGGACTCTGAGTGCCTTGAGGGTAGCATAATGCCTTGTACTCGGTAAGTTCTCCCCCCCACCCCCCCGCCCTTGGTAGTTTTATAGTTGTATTAACATAAATACAATGTGCACATAAGCTGTCTGTTCGCTTTCTTCGTTGCGCAGCCTGGCGTCAGGATTGGTGACTCTATGGACAGCTGGGCTGTTCTTTCCACAATGGCTTTGGGGTTCTTGAGAGGAGACATTGTGAGCCATGTCTGCACAGTAAGATTTGTTCCACATCAACAGCTCTTCAAGCCCCCTGACATTATGTACTAGAAATTTCTGGAAGCCACGGGCAGCATGTGCTTGGTTTTTTTTGATGCTCCCGTAACCAGTGCCAGGCATCAAGATCTGGTCCTGGAATCTTCTGTGTGCTCTATCATCAGTGCCACTGGGTTTCCACCAGTTGCGCTTGATTTTGACTGATTGGTCTGATTGGTGCTGCATGAACTTCTTGGTCCTCTTTTTAATGATCTTGGGCTTCACCAGAGGTCTGAGGGCAGCCAGGATGCCAAGCAGATGGCTTCCACCTCCACGGGCATCGATGAGGAAGGGAGGGGTTTCCATAAGCTTTCACTGAACTAAATTGAATCATGAGGGAGTAGAGAAATATGTGTTGCCAGCACCAACAAGTGCTATAAAACTCTTCATATTCATTACCCTAGTAACCTCTCTTTGGAAGAACATACTTCCAGGAAATAAGATGAAAGAAAAGAGTCATTATTGCCAAGATTTACAAAAAGCCATATTTATCACTGGAGGATGGAAATGCAGGCAATCAAAATGTCCAATGGATTAAGGACACAAACTGTAAATCATGGTGTATCAATGTGATAAAATATAGAATCATTAAAAAGATAAGTGAGTGGGTGCATGATTTAAAAAAAAGGAGGAAAACGCAGAAAATGACAAGTGTTGGCAAATATGAGGAGAGATTGGAATTCTTGCGTGTTGTTGCTGGTAGAATTACAAAATGATGCAGGATGTATGGGAAAATGTTGGACAGTTCTCCAAAAAGTTAACCATGGAATTACCATAATACCTAGCAATTCCACTCCTGGGAATATACCCCAAAACCCGTACACGAATATTCACAGGAACATTATTTATAATAGCCAAAAAATGGAAATAACCTAAATGTCTATCAACTGATGAGTGGATAAACAAAATGTGTATATCCACACAATGGAGTATTATTCACCCATAAAAAGGAATGAGGGACTGATAACGAGCTACCACGTGGTCGAACCTTTAAACATTATGCTGTGTGAAAGAGGCCAGGCACAGAAGACCATATAATGTATGGTTCCATTTGTCTGAAATTT